TTTTTTTTAATTCATCCGAATCCCTTGTTTGGTTAATAAGTTCTTTTAAGTTTTAATAGAACAAAACTTCTTCACTGATTCATGGCTTTTTTTTAGCATATGATGCTAATTTTTTATGAACATTCATAAAACTATGTTGTTAATTGGGATTTAGATTCTCAAAGTATAATAATTATCTATTATATGAACACATATTTGACTATCGACCTGTTGATTCGAGTGGAAAGAGTTTGGTTCCTTTTAAATAAGATTTTGAGTTTAAGTCTTGTTAACGGAAAAATAAGTGCTGGGAGAAATGGAAAAATAGGTGCTCGGAGAGATGCACTACAAGAAAATTTAATTTCACCGACCACATATCACCGAGGTAAGAATTTTTCTCAGTGAAGCATCATTTTACCGACAACCATTAAGTCTGCAAGTTGAGAAATAGTAGAAATAGTAGTAAGATATATTATTTATTGTACAGACATAATACTTGTCGGTAACTTAAGATCATACATATATGTTACTTGTCGGTAATTGCAGCCAATACTCCGGTGAGTGGGGGACGGACGGAAAGCCAAATCACTGATGAGAAGCACACCTGTAAATTGCTTTTTGAAACGAGAGTCTCGTCAGTAATTGAGGATCAATTTTCCAAGGTACATCTTCTCGGTAATTCCCACTCCCAACGTAGCCTCGTCGATCAGCTGGATGCCTGTGTCTTGTCGGTAAAGTCGCCAAAAAAATACCAACAGGAAGCTGGTTGGTAATTTGGGCGCGGATTGCAAAAATTTTCATTTTTGAGTTCCCGCTCTCGGTCACTTACCCATGTGATCTTTGTTGGTGAAACTAATACCGACTAACCACACATGGGTAAGTTGCCATATATATATCCCCCACCACTCTACCCAGCTTATTTCTTCTTGTCTTCCTTCTTATTCTTCTTCTTCTTCTTCTTCTTCTTCTTCTTCTTCTTTTTCTTCTCCTCTCCGGCTATTGCCTCCTCTTTTTCTTCTGTTCAATGTTGCTGGATTCATTCTTTATATATGTTTATAATTACATTATTGATATAACTTTAGGTTTATATTTTTTTCAATCTCCTCTCTTTTAATTTTCTCTTTCATTGTTTCTCCCTATTTGATTAAATACTAATTTGTGTTATTTTATTTGTTTTTCAGGAAACATTAGGAGATAATCATTGGGGTAAGTAAATTTTCTGTGTAAATTTTATTTACAAAAGCCATTAGAGATATTAGGGTTGAAATTAATTATAGATAAATACTAACTTAATTTATGTTTTTTTTATTTATTTTCTTAGGAAATGGTGTTGTGCAAATCTTCATCTATTGAGGTAATCTTTAATTAATTTTTAGGTTATCTAGTTGTATTTTAACTTTGTCATTTTATTCTTTTTTTTTTAAGTTATGTTTTAATCTTTAATTTAAATAAATAAATAAATAATGTTCTAA